CTACGCCCACTAGGCCACTAGAGATGCACGTGCCTGTGCAACAAAAATGCACATCAAGTATAGTATGAGTACGAAAATAACGTGTACCAAATGAGTATCCCGTCTAATCTCGAAGAAATAGAGATGAGAGGTCGACTTCGACACTTACTAGTGGTCCAATGATAATATAGTAAAAGTGTGAGAAATTCATGGATTTCATAAGCAAAATGAAAATCATAAAGCCGGAAAGCAGGTAAACAACTTCTCAAATAATAAGGATTTCCAAAGATTTACTTTTCATTATCTTTATCAATTTATCTCTAGCCAGGAAAGACAATTATCAACATTAAAATACAAGCATGCGCATATCATACCGAGGTCGTATGACCCGATCCAACAGAAATGTAAAATGTGCATTGCCGAGGGTCGAACGGCGCGAACCATAGATGCATCTATTACCCCGCTCGCGAATCATACATGCGACGCGGTCAACATAAATAAACAAATACCCCGCTCGCAAATCATTACATGCGACGCAGGCACACATAGATACACACAATCAAACAGCCAATTAAGAATTTATCGGGGAATGTTTATCCAAATAAAAGCCAATTCTCTTTTAATGATTTAAGAAAAATAAAGTTTAATCCTTTTAGAAATTAATTTACCAATTTGATAGGATTTAAGCAATTCAACTGTCAATAAGATACAAATATTCCAAGTATAACATGCTTTTGGGTCCTACACTACCCAAACTTAAACATAATAGTAGCTAAGCACGGACTCTCGTCACCTCGTACGTATATAGCCCCCAAAAATAGGAGCACATAACCAATTATTTCACCTATGGGGATAATTCCCTCTTACAAGGTTAGAAAGGAGACTCACCTCGCTCCGAAATTTTCATAACCGGCTTCCAAGCTCTTCCAACGACTCTAATTGATGCACAACGCCCAAAAACTATTCAAATAACGGGCAAACCAATAAAAATTCACTCCAATACTTGTAACAATTCAAATTATATTAGTTCCCAACTCCGCTCAAAAAGTTGACCAAAATGCCCTCGGGACCACGTACCCGGATTCCGAAATTTCTCGAAGATAAATTCTACCCATAGCTTTACTAACTCAAATATACAATTTGTTCTAATTTTCATGCTCAAATTCAAGGTAAAAGTCCAAAATTCTAAATTCTAGGTCTTCCCCAAAAATCCCAAATTTATACTAATTTTCTATGTCTAAATTCATGTAAGATCACATATTTAACTCAAAAATAGGAAGAAATCACTTACCTAATGTTGCTTGGTGAAAATCCCTCCTTGAGCTCACCAAAATTGTCCAAGCCAATTGAAAGAAATGAAAGAAATTGGCCACAACTCGTGTTTAAAACAATCTGCCCAGGCTTCATCGAGTTGTACCTTGCGCTGTGCAGGTTGTACATCCTATTACCATTTTCCGTTGCTGTACACCTTTTGTTAAAACGCCCATAACCTCTTGTGAAAATATCTAAATGCCAAACAGTTTGAAGATTTAGAAACTAGACTCAAATATCTTTCATTTTATAAAACTAGACTCAAATATCTTTCATTTGATAGGTTGTGCACTATATAATGCTTTATATATTCCGAGATATGAGCTTCTAAAGTCGGCTCCATGCATCAGAAAATTCTGTCGAAACTGCTCTACCAGCCATCTTCAATCGATCATAACTTTATGATAAAATGTCCAAATCATAAATGGTTTAACTTTTTGGAAACTAAAATGCAAGGACAACAACTTTTATGTTTTGCAAATTTTCAGATTCCTTGTATATTTCGAGATATAAGCTTTTAAAGTAGCCTTCTAGATTGCACCATTGCTGTCCAAAACAGCAGCTGCAGCAGATTTTCAGCAGCTTCAAATTTCTGAAATCGATCTGTTAGCCTTCCGAAATCCACCCGAGATCCTCGGGACTTCAACCAATTATACAAACATGTCCCAAAATACAATACGAACTTAGCCAAGGCTTTAAATCACATCAAATAACGTCGAAATCATGAATCGTACTCCAATCCAAACTTTATGAACTTTGAAATTTCGAACTTCTACATTCGATGTCGAAACCCGTCAAATCACGTCCGATTGACCTCAACTTTTGCACACAAGTCATATTCGACATTACGGACCTGCTCCAACTTTTGAAATTGGAATCTGACCCCGATATCAAAAAGTCAAACTCTCGGTCAAACTTCTCTAAAACCTTCAAATTTCTATCTTTAGCCAAATGACTTCAAAATGACCTACGAACCTCCGAATTCACTTCCAATCACGCTCCCAACTCCAGAATCACCATACAGAGCTACTCCCAGACTCGGAATCCTGAACAGACACCGATAACACTGAAATACACTTCAACCCAAACTTATGAAATTTCTTCCAAAATGCTAACTTCCATGATAGGCGCCAAAACACTCTCGGGTCATCCAAAACCCGATCTGGGCATACGCTCAAGTCCGAAATCATCATACGAACCTATTGGAACCTTCAGATCCCGATTTCGAGGTCGTTTACTCTGAAATCCAATCTTAGTCATTTCTTTCAACTTAAAGCTTCCGAAATGAGAATTCCCTTTCCAAATCAACTCCGAATTCCCCGGAATTCAATTCCGACCATGTGTACAAGTCATAATACCTGAAGTGAAGCTGCTCGTGGCCCCAAACTGCTGAACGACGCGCTAGAGCTCAAAACGACCGGTCGGGTCATTACACTAAAACCCTCTTAAACTATCACGTTTTTGTCAGTTTCCTACTTAAACTATTCGGTGTCCTGAAAATACCTCTAAACTATATTTCCATTCATATGTAAACGAGCTCGTTGCTTACCCGGCATAATGTGTGTAATAGTTCGATTGGGAGCGCGTGTCAGCTGAAAAAAGCCACCAAAATGGCCCACCTGACAATATATAGTGGCTAATTAGCCTAACCCTCTTTCAACTATAATTTTTATAAATATTCTCTTTATTTTCTTTATATCTACCTTTCTTCCTCATTCATTGTTCTTCCTTATTTTTCACCTTCATTTGTTATTTTCACCCTCTTTTTCATCTTTTTCTTTTTGATTTTTTTCTTCAGTTCTCCATATGTTCCTTTTGAAAAAATTTCTCCCTCGCTTATTTCCTCTAAATTGATTTATTCTCTTTTTTGTTTTAGCCTTCTTTCATTTCATATGCATATTGTTGAAAAAACACTCATTTAAATCTTCTTATTAATCCAACATCTTGTAGATAATAAAGTTGAATCCCTTGAACTTTGTTTGTGTAATCTAGAATTAGAGAATATAGTCATTGGCTGTTTGGTTTTTTATTTGTGAAATTTTATTTTGTATAATTTTGTTTATGTAATATAAGATGATTTTTAATAAATACAACACAATATGCCTTCATTTTTTTGTTTATTATACTGCAAAGTAAATATAAACAAGAACTTATTCAAATGGAATCTAGGATAAAGCACAATCACAACCAAACTTAAAATTAACTTATTACATTAGATACTATTTTAGCTAAAACTCCTAGAATTATTCAGTCATCCGAGAGTAATACATCATGAATAAACTAAAAAAAAATCTAGTACGAACCATAAGTTAATATAGTTAAACGCACCTCTAAGAATTCAAATGGGGTTTTAATATATAGGACAATATAGTTCAGGGGGATTTTAGGTACTAGATAGTTTAAGTAGATAACTGACAAAAAAAATTATAGTTTAAGAAAGTTTAAGGCTGAGTTAAATAGCCACGTGTAGTGCCACATGGTGAGCGTGTACTAGACGCACCTGTAAGAATGGGACGAGAAGGTTTTAATATGAAAGACAATATAGTTCGGGGATCTTGGGGACATCGAATAGTTTAAGTAAAAAAATGACAAAACAATTTAGGGGATTTAGGTATTAACTCTACTTTAAGGGGTCGTTTGGTATGAGGTATAAGAAGGTATAAGGGTGGTATAAAAATTTAATACTACCTTAATACTCTGTTTGGTTAGCAAACCGGGATAACTTATTCCGGTGTTAATTTTAAAACTGGGATAACCTATACCTTATAGAAGGTGGAGTAACTAGCACCGGTATAACTTATATCTTCTTCTTAGAAATTATGCAATTGTCATTCTTAATACAACATATCAAACAATGAATAAACAACAATCCCAGCATAACTAATCCCAGCATAACTTATCACAATATAACTTATACCGGTATAAATCGTATTCCAACCAAAGACCCCTAAAGGATTGTTTTAGATCAAAATAAGGAATAAGTTTTGCCATTCTCTTACCAAAAATAAAAGGCCAAATACATATACAAACCATTAAACTTTGCCCAATTTTTTATTTTGGCACTTTAACTCAACCTTGTTCCATTTTTTCCCTCCAACCTCATTTCTTTTGTTCTACTTTGACACAAAAAAATTTCTTTCAGGTAAAAATATAGCGCGTGCAAATACCTAGCTGCTACCACCACCCCTCGTAAAAAAAATTTACTTTTTTTTTGTAATTTCAAATTATTATGTTTTTCGTTTTTTCTGCCCACATCCCAGGGAAAAAATATTTTTTTTAATATATTTTCAGTAATAACTACGGGTTCAACTGAACCCATAACTTTCGACGCGGAATAAAAATTTGTATGTAAAAATTCATTAAAATTGTAAAAAAAAAAATATAAACTCATAACTTTAAAAATATAATGGGTTCAATGTTAAAAATATTAAAATTGAATCCATAGGGTTTAAATTTTGGATTCGCCTCTACGTTGAGAGTGTGAAATTTGGCTTAAAAAATGGCTCTCACGCGCCTACAAGGGTGAGACAAATCACACATGGAATCTAGTCAGCTTTTGTGTTAAAGTGGAACAAAAGAAATGAGGCCGGAGGGCTAAAATGGAACAAGACTGAGTTAAAGTGCCAAAATGAAAAATTGGGCCCAATTTAATGGGTTGGCGAAAATAAAAATAAATATAAAATTATAGAGGCAGTGCTAACATGGAGAATGGCCAAAGAGTGAAAAGAAACAAAAGCAAAGAAAAGGAGAGAATCGGTGTCAAGAAAAAAATTGACGACTGGGCAAAGAGGAGCGGCCCATATTTACATCGGTCACCGTCAGATTCATCTTATTTAGTCGTTTCTCCTTGTTTATCTTATTCATCTGAATCTCTGCGCTCTTCTCTCTTAAGGTAAATCCCTTTTCTCCTTCTCATTTCTGCAATTCGCATTTTTATTTATTCGAATCCTGATGCCCTGACTTCTCTTCCTTTGTTAGATCTGTTCCCTATTATCATCCTATCGAATCAATGCTCCGATTATTTCTTAATTTCTGTGTTTTGTGATTTGGTTAATTTCTTGTCGTCGAAGAGGTTTCCAGTATAAATATGTTGTTGAACTCCATCGAGTTTATTGATCGGTTATTTTAGGAAATGCGGTTGCAACGTAAATTTTAAGTAATTGTAATTCCGAAAATGCTAGAAATGTGATGTCCAGGAATTTCACTTGAGCTCCCATCCTTTCTAATTTATACAAATTTAACAATTGCAAGCTGTCACTGTACTAATTTAACCCCAAAAGTTAGAAATTCTCCCCTTTAATCCTAAGATAGAATTGGTTGACAAATTGTTATGTGATTTGTCCTAGTCAAATTTCTTTTTTTCCTTGTCTTTTCTTTAAGGTTGGGTATTGTTAATTCTCTACATTTACACAATTAGTACCTAGTAAAGTGCCAGCATGCTGTAATCTAAAATCTATTTGATCATGTATGATTCTGAAATCTACATTGCGCTTTAAGGAAATTCTATTGTCATTTCTGCTCTTACCCGCATATAGAGATATCAATTTAATAGGATGGCTAGAGTGAAGAGTCTAAGCCAAATTTAACTTAGGCTCAAACCCTTATTTGGTGATTATATTAGCAGAAATTTAAATTGGATGTTAAGGGGATTTAGAGGGCTCAAAGCTCTTGGTCTGTATTCTTTTTTTTTTCTTCTTTTTTATTTGTTTGTTTGAGGGGTTATTGGTAGAATTAAGTTTATATTGACATGTATTTCTTGTCAGATATATAGCTCCAAATTGATCATTTTCAGAAACTCGCAACATATTACATTCAGATAGGACGATAACAGAGAATGGTCAAAGGGTTAGTTCACTTTGTTTGTTTGTTCATATTCTATAATTATTTCCTCGTGGCACAAATGACCGGTCAAGATGGTCTCCCACCCTTCCCAGCTCTGATTTTTTTGGGTTGACCAGATATGGAGCAAATTGAAGTAGGGATCATACCATGTTGCAGTGCCTAGACGGTATCAAGCATTTAGGTGCTTCTCTGTCGAAATGTTGTGATCTGGATAGGCAATCAACGGGCTTTGAAGATCCGGAGATCCTAGCACGAGAAACAGTTTGTATGCTATATGAAAGCTTTGTTAACATCTTAGTTTTGCAATTAGAACGTAAAAAGAAAGATGAACCAAAAACAATTTTTGTCTGGCTACAAGTGTGTCTTTATGATTGCGTCATATGTAGTCTGTATTTGCATCTTGAAAATTGTGTACTAAAAAAGGTAAAAACTTTCTTTATTTCAAAATTTGTTTTGTAGTTTTCTATGTCATATCTGTTGAATTCTTTAAAATGTTGGGACAAGGATTTGGAATATACAGAGTTGAGATATGCGCATCCTAATCTATTGGTTGTTTTATCGTATTGACTTTTCCACTAGAATAAATATGGTTTAACCTGTACACTCTTATTCTTGCTGCAGTTAGTGTCAGTGAGATTGAAGCTCTTTATGAGCTATTTAAGAAGATCAGCAGCGCAGTGGTTGATGATGGGCTGATCAACAAGGTTTGTGTTTCATCCTTTGTTAAGAATATAGCATTGGATATTCGCACTGGTGTGTTTGAGATATAGGTGTTCTAGCAGCATAACTCTTTTTGGGCTATTATGCATGAATAATCAGTCTTGATTCCAGCAAGGGTCTTTGGGTTTTAAAGTTATTACTAAATTGCAGGAAGAATTTCAATTGGCACTATTCAAGACGATCAAAAAGGAAAGCTTGTTTGCCGACAGGGTGCGTTCTTATTGCAAGCTACATTAATGTTTTCATTTTGACTTATCAAAAAAGTCTTTTCATTTTGAATTGGGGATTACAAATTTTGATAGAGCAAACATTTTTTTTTCATCTGATTGCAGGTCTTTGACTTATTTGACACAAAGCACAATGGAATCTTGGGGTTTGAGGAATTTGCTCGTGCCCTCTCTGTTTTCCATCCAAATGCTCCTATTGATGATAAGATTGAGTGTATGTGACATGCTTACATAATAAAAATAGTTTCAATTCTTAATAATCCTGCTTCTAATGGTATTGCTACTGTAGTTTCTTTTCAGCTATACGATCTCAAGCAACAAGGCTTCATTGAGAGGCAAGAGGTAAGTCTATCTTTCGTAAGGTGAAGTAATGAAGTACTGAACGTTCCTATATTGTTCTACTTTCTAAATGTCCAGTTTTTAGTTCAGTTGCTCTAGTTAGTGGTAACAAAGCATTCTTGGAAATCTTTTTTGTACTTTTAATTGCATTCCCCTGAAGTGCCTGACATAAGTAAAGTATGGTTCTTGTGCAGGTGAAGCAAATGGTGGTTGCTACCCTTGCTGAGTCTGGTATGAACCTATCAGATGAGGTCATTGAGAGCATAATTGATAAGGTGCTTCTTCAACCTAAATTTATATACTTTTAATGGTCTATCTTTCATTTGAAGGAGGAGAGATTCTCATGTTAACATGTACACGAATTCAATAGTGCTTTTGCTTTTTTGTTGTCTCCTTTGCTATCTATTTGTTATAGGTTAGTCCATTTGAATTTTGTCATTTTCAAGGATGATTCTTGGTTACTTAGACCTACAGGGAAAAGAAGCACCCACCAATCCCCTGATGTTTCTTTAAGGATGATGTTTTGATCATGGGCCTATTGGGAGGAGAAGCACCCGAATTCCTAGTTAGAGCCGACCGAAGGCTGAAGCCAATGAAACATGTGCGTTAGCCCCCAAAATTTTGGGTCCCCAATAGACTTATAAGTCATAGGTTTGATTTTCTTTTATAAGATATTGAGTATTTCAAAGTAAAAAAGTATAATTTCTTTATTAAAAAAAGGAAAGGTAGCTTCTAGCTTTGTGATTTGTGATTGATGTGACTATTTGAGCAAAAATTGAAAAATGAGAATCACCCCCCTAAATTCTTACGTGTGATTTAAACAACTTTTTGGGTTATCTACATTTTGACAAGTGACAACAACATTAGTAGGTTACCTACATTATTCTTCTCTTTTTATATTTATCATAAGAAAATGTGTAATACACTTTTAAACCCCTTTCTTGGTTTCGCCAAGAGACCAGGACTTTTTTTTCTTAATTTTCTCATAAAAAAAACATGTACTACACTTTTATACTCTCTTCTTGGTTTTTTCGAGCGACCAAGTCTTCAATAAGCTATTATGCTGTCAAAACTATAGTACTATTGTTTTATCAAATACAAGAGCGGAAGAGTTTAGCGTTGCGGTAGCGGTAGCGGAAGCAAAACAAATATGCAGAAGAACATTAACAAAGAGTAAAAGATAGAGTGAATTTGAATTACACGGGTTAGAATTACACTAACTCAAATATTTAACCTAACTTGAATGCTTGTTATCACTAACGATCATTCAAACCCAAAAAAGTCGTGGTAGAATCGAAGACAATCAGATAAAGAATATAAACAATCCCAACAAATATAAAAGAACCTGTTAATTAATATTCCAAACAAATTCAATCCAGAGAAAGAAATGAAAAAGGAAGGAGAAGAGATGAGCTCAAATAAAAGGTCCTTACCCTAAAGATTCAAGTTGAAGTTCAAAAGAATCATGGTATCAATCCCTACACTTATATTCATCAGTATATATTGCCTTTTTAAGTATTTATTATAATTTAAATATGTCAACTAGAATATATGAATATGGTTATACAAAACTCAAAAAAGAAGAAAAGAAGAATTGAAACTTTAACACAGTCCTTAAAGCCTAAAGGAACTCCTGATAAATTATTAAATCAGAAAATATGGGAAAATATTATTTGGATGAACTAGTCACTAATTTAGTCGAGTGAGATAATAATAAAATCTAAGTAGAAGAAAAAGTTAGTGAGAAATCTGATTACGTCCTAGAGAAAACCAAGAACTTCTACTGGAATTAAATAATTGCATTCCTAGAACCATAGATTTTCCAACTTTCTCAACAACAAAAAAGATAACCTTTGATTTTCCAATGAGTAATAATTCTAGGATTATGTAATTCCTAAACATTGAGATTTGCCAAAGAATTTCTTAATTCTAGGAAATGCAATTATTTTAATTCATCTATAAGTTCTTGTTTTTCTTTGAGAATCGATATCAGAATTCTTAGTAACTTCTTCTTCTTAGATTTTATCATCATCTAATTCAAATAGATTAGTAAACTTGCTCATCTAAAGAACGTTCTCCCATATTTTTTTATTTGATTTTTTTGTTGTTTGCTAAAAAGTTATCAAGACCACCTTTTTGGGATTATATCAAAGTTTCACTTATTCCTTTTTGGGGTTTTTTTTGAATAACCAGATTCATTTTTTTTAGTTGACATATTTTAATTCTAATAAATAATCAAAACGGTAAGATATACTTATGAAATAGAAATAGCAAATTTTAGATTAACAGAATCTGACTTAAGAAGTTGATAATTTGATATTAAAATAACATTTTGCTGCGTCAATATACTTGCTGTAATGTTGGAAACTTGATAAAAAACAAAAAAGGATACGCAATATACTTTATTCAATGGTACTCTTCAACTCTTGTCTTTTATAGAACAATAGTATTCTTGTTTTTGACAAAACAATATAGCTGATGGAAGACTTGGATTCTTAAAAAAAACAAGAAAGGGGGTATAAAGGTGTAGTATACATTTTCTAATGAGAAAGATAAAAAAGAAGAGTTGGACTCTAGGAGAAACCAAGAAAATGAGTTTAAAAGTGTATTGTATGTTTCTTTTACTAATGAGGAAGGTAAAATAGAGAAGAATAATGTACACCAGAATGTAAATAACCCAAAAAGTTGCTTACATTCACATGTAAAGGGTGTAGAGGAATGATTCTTATTCCCCAATATTTACCCAAACAGTCATATCAATCACGATAGCAAAGCTTATCTTTCCTTTGTAATAAATTGTACTGCTTTGAAAGACTCAATATGTTACTAAAAGCAAAATTAATATAAGCCTATTATTGGGGCCCCCAAAATTTTGGGGCCTAAAGCACATGCTTTATTAAATAAAGCATCAGCTAACCCTGAGTGATAGTAAACAAGCTAGTGAAGATAGTAAAGATTGGAGAAATTTTAAGCTAAGCTCAAAGTTCATGAAACAATAAATGAGCATATTACTAATATGATTGAATTAATTGAGTTAGATATAGATCCCACAAAATAGTAATATGATTGAACGAATGGAGTTAGATATAAATTGCACAAAAATAAAACAATTAAACTTCAAATAAAATATATGATGTTTCTATAATTTAAAGTTCAAGATCTCTCATTAAAATTTGGTTTAGGCCACCAATTTTATTGAGGCGCCCCTATTCCTAGTGCCTGACATAATATGGCAAGGTATTTCTTAAGAGCTAATTATTTTTTATGGTTTTGATAAATAGTTGATGGATAACTGATATAAGAGTTCTGGTGTAGTTGCTTGAAGCTTTTAGGTCTCATAATTATACATTCTTAGGGGCAATTTTGTAACTTCTAGTTTGGATTTATACAACAATTACACTACTTCTATGCCTTAGTAAATGATGGAACATCTCCTTGGCTCATAAGGTATTTCTTAAGATGCGTGATACTAGAGAGAAGTCTACCTTGTCTTTAAAAATCTTTAAGTTACAGCATTTTTCAATACATCTCCTCCACTCTCTGACAACAGCCTTACACGATAACTCAAATGCAAATAATAGATTACATGGTAATGTAACTTATGTAAGTCAAACTCTATCATTTGCTGTTGCAACATGGAGAGGAAAGCTTTATTACAAGCCAGAGAGGCATTTGGTGTTATCTGTATTTGTAGACCAGAAAAAAGAAGTCAAAGGCAGGGGAAGTAGTTACAGTTCTTGGGGAATGGCAGTGGGTGATTGGTGGGTGTCCCAATTTCACCAGGTTTACCCTAGAAAAACCAAAACAGTTAAGCCTAATGTTATCAATGAGGGATACTCTAGTTTTACAATTATGCTGGTAGACGTACTTTTATGGAGGTAATTAGACATGGTTTAAAGGAACAAACGGTGGTAGAACATCGATAGTCTATAGATCCTTGTTCTCAAATATCGGATGAACCTACAAAAACATCAAGCAAAGTGTGCTAAGAGGGTGCTATCTGACCAGTGCTCCATCTCATTGGAATGTAGAGACTGGATTAAGTGCAAGTCATATTTCAAGTTTGAGAACATGTGGATATGTGCAGAGGCTTGTAGAGGAATGGTAGGATTTTTACTGTTCTAATCGTAATGCGACATTCATAACCGTACCTTTGATCTCTAAGAAGAATCTCTAAGAAGAACTTAGCTGTACGACTAAGAAACTTCAGACCCTTAAGTCTCTTAGGAATTGTGTATAAGATCATTACAAATGTGTTCAATGCGAGATTAGAAGCAGTAATTGATAATGAAAATGCTTTTGTACAATGAAGAAAGATCATGGATGCTTTTTGGTTGCAAATGAAAGCTCGAACACTAGATAAAGACAAGGAGGCAAGAACACTATGTGAACCAGATTTGAATATTTTAATCTGTCATTTTTGCTTACTGTTTGAAACTATGAGATTTGTGAGAAAATGAATCAAGTGGATGGAAAGTAGTATCTCATCTGTCCGATTCTCTAGCTTAAAAAACTTATTTTTTTGTTTTGTTATTGGAAATGGAAGATTAAACAGAGCTGTCTCGGCCGATATACATAAAGACTTCACAGATTTGTTCTACTAGCCCTTTGAGGCAATATCCACTGCATGTTAATCTAGTAATAATTTGTCTTTTTCCAGTTAATGAAATGAATATGGAGTAACATACGTTCTTTGGCAGAAAATTTTAAGGTCCCAAGTGGAACTATTGCATATCTGGGAGGCCCTTAGGGCAAAACACAGAAAATCAGTACTCTGGCAGAATATGGTATAGAAATGTGAAAAGAGGCTGGTCGCCTATAAAAAGCGATACTTATCAACAGGCAGTAGACGAGCTCTTATTGATAGTGTGCTTGATGTGATCCTCGCATGTCTTTACACCCAATCTCTGCAAATATGGTAAAGCAACTAGACAAATTAAGAAAAGACGAGGGCAACTCAGAAAGGCACTGACTATACCTAGCAAATTGTCTCATAGTAATGTTGCCTTAAAGATGGGGTTGTTCGGGGGATAAAAATTTGAAGCTGCATAGCATGAGGCTTCTCGTAAAATGGCTATGTAGATTTAACACTGAAAAAGAAGTAATATGGAGGAGTAATTATACCAAAAACAGAATGGAAAAACACAATCGAGCTAATAGCAAGGTCCCATGGAATATCATTCCAGAGGTACAGAAGCAGTAACCGAGAGGAAGTCTTTAAAACTGTATAAATGATTGTTAGGAATTAGGATGGAGGGAAAACGGTGAATAGACCCATCGATAGATCAGATTTATCTGAAGCAAACTTTTCCTGATTTGCACAGCACTGTACTGAATCAAGAGACAGTTGCAGACAAACGAATGAGCGGACGCTAAACTCTAGGAGAAATTTTTGAATGGGAGAGAAGAAGAGCACAATTGCTGGAAATGGAGGAGTCACGAACTTGACAGAAAGATTATTGATGTAAAAAATATTTTTCTATGGAAGGTGAATAAATATGCATGACACATGTTAAAACTTGTCAAAACAGGTCCAATCCACCAGTCACCTATTTGTACACTTGAATTATGCCTGGGAAATGTGGTTGTGTTCCTGAATGTACTTTGGGTGTAACTTGTGACAAGAGGATGCTGTGAATACTTGGCACGGCTAGATAGTAAAAGAGCAGCTTAGATACATTTGGAACACTTCCCTTTGTCATTATAGAGAGACATAAACAGTAGGTGCCTTGAGAATATATAAACATGCTTGTCTTGTGCAAAGTGAGAGTTTTACACATGGTGCAATTCAAATATAAAAATGATTTTTATATATTTTTGGTGCTCTTCTTGAGTTCCTTAAGATCTAAGCGAATCAAGGTCCTTTTCCTGTACATTTTTTTTATAACGGAGAAATCCCCGAGGGCTAGCAGCATACGATTTGAGACTTGGTGGATAATGGGCATGCCCCTCTATCTTTCTCTATTAAATACTAGGCTTTTGTTTGCGGCAGGGCCTAAAGCCGTGACATGCGCTTAACCCACACATCATGTGCGGCGTTCTTACCACTAGACCAAAGCCCCGAGGCTCTACACATGGAGCAATTCAGATATGAACATGATGTAAATATATTTTGTGCACTAAAAGGATGTAAATATTTTCTGTAAATATTAGCATCCTCTTGGTCCAGATCTATTAATCATTTTTCCATTAAAAAAAAAAAAAAAAAAAAGAAGGGTTGGAAACCATCTAGATTTAATTTTTCAAGTACACTTGATACTAATAGTGAATTTGTAGAACTGGATCTTTACCAACAAATTCCATGTGCAGTAAAAGTAGTTTAGGATCATCAAGGATATCTGTGTTTGGGAATTGCTCATTTATTTGACTGGTATTTCTGTCCATGGCCAAATTAGATATATGCAAATGGATCTGGATTTCGTCATGTTTCTAGTTCATTCTTCTCCCCCTGCCCCCTCTTTTATCCCGTGGTAGAGTTTCTCTTGAATTCTACTGTTTCTTCTTTGTCAGACTTTTGAAGAAGCCGATACTAAACATGACGGAAAGATTGATAAGGAGGAATGGAGAAGTTTGGTCTTGCAACATCCTTCACTTTTGAAGAATATGACTCTCCAATATCTCAAGTGAGTGGCATATTGGATCTTGACATTACTCCACTAATTATCATGTTTTCAATTTGTGATATTGTCCATATTATGCTCATGGCATCGATTGGCTCAAAAATCTTCCTCGTTTAAACAGGGACATTACGACTACATTCCCGAGCTTTGTCTTTCATTCCAGAGTTGAGGATACCTGATTTGAGATGGACAGGCAGAAGTTGCTTAGGGAAGTGCTTTTGCTACATTTTTTTTTCTTCTGCCTTATGGGGAATTGCAACTGGCCAGTTTATGGATGTTGGGATAGTGTGTTTCGCTCTTCTTCTTTTCCCGTTTCATATGTCAAGATTTTCATGATTTGTTATTCTTTTTGAGTGTAGTGGTTCCATATTTTGTGGCCTAGTGATAGACGTTGGGTTCCCATTCAGTTATGCTGTGTGTATGCACGTAATTGGTGAATTGTGCACGCCAGTTTTGGTAAGATTATGTTTAGGGTCATGCAGCTATTTAATACATGCAAAGCAATCAAGTAATCGCCCAATTAGTATTGTGAAATTACTCAATGGCATATAGCTTAAATTTAGGCTACGAGATCACTTAACTAGTGTTAGGCAACTATGCGATTTATATGTTGTAGTTAGGCAAGCAGCTTGACATTTATCTATTCATTTTTTTGGTGCATCCATTGCTTTGATTAATTGGTTGGACTATGAATTGTAGCAACATCTATAAACGCGCAAATATACATATTAACATAACTTCTTAATATTTATGTTGTATTTGTTTAGTATTAAAATCTATATGATCTTGCAGGATGTCCAATTTTTTTACCTGCCAACCAGGCATTCAGTTCTAATCGTTGGTACACTGACAAGAAAAAATTGTTGTAATGTCGTGTGTTTTTTGTTGTTGCACAATGTCGGTCATTTTGATGATCCCAAGTTAGAGAGCATGCCTTACTCTAATAATAGGGTGCGTAGAGTTTCTAAATGAATGCAAGTGCAACTATATATGAAATATCCTAGCTGTTAGCAAGGCAGGTCCCTTATAAAGCCTACCGGCCAGAAAGTCCTTAAGAACGAGAAAGCCGACTAAAAGCTTATTCCATAACCGACTCTTGTTGTCGAGTCGATGGAGCTTGGCTTGTATCAGGTTCTAAAAGAGTTTTCTTCGAGCAAGCGCTCTTTCTATCTTTTTGGATTGCATGCCCAAGATAATGCTTTTTGTAGATTGAGATGAATTGATCTTCGCTATCGTACCTCCTCCTTGTACCAGTTGATGCTGGGGTAGTGCTTAATATGAATTTTCTCCTGCCCCAGACAACTTCGAGGTTCCCATCGAGCGATTACAGAGGTTTCTACCATTGAACTTGCTTATGCTCCCTTTTGATTGAGTGCTATTTCTATAAAGAAGATTGAGTAGGAAAATATTGAATTGGCCTCAATTGAGATTGTCTCGGCTTCTTAGGCACACGAGAAAGCGGCCTAACTTCTTTTCAATCGAAATCCCAATCAAAGATAAGTTCTACCAAAGTTAGAGGGCTTATTGACTGTTTATGTCTAAGCTTATCTGAATTTGCAGCTTCCCCGTGTTCAATTTTACCGGAATTTCTTCTGAAATTTGCGAGAATTCTTGCACCATTGCTGTCTCAGCATATAACCATTTCAGCCTTCAAAAAGTTAGTTAATCAACTTAAATTGAAGCTGTGTTGCCCTTTCTTTTTATTTTTATTTGCAAATAAAATGTCAGAAGCTTCGTATTACAAGCACCGAAAAGATTAATCTTGACGAGATGACTATAACAGTCTTCCCACTTCTGAGTGCAGTAATTCTACATTGACTTAATCACCCAACCTCAGTTGTCCATGTCAGGCGACATCTCAAACCAACTGCTCACTTCATTATGATTATCTAGTCGCTAGCTCAATTAGTTCTTGCGGATGCATTTTTGTAATCTATTACGTCAAATTATTAAGATCACAAAGCTATGTAACTAAGACCACTAACAATTCACAAACTGGACGACTTGCAGTTCGACCAACATTATTGTTATCTGTCTTCTCCCCAAACCTTGCCTTTGCTTCAATGATTTTACGGAGTTTTAACCAAACTAGTAATATTCAACATGTTTAAATATTGGATGTCAACCAAATACCGGGAAGAGAAAAAAAATCAACTTCATTCATCAGTAGCTTTTGTTTTTTGAAAACTCGGATGAGCTCTTCCAAATACTGTTTTTACAACTTTAACTTCAAATACACTTTTTTTTTTCAACTTACACCAACAGTCCAGAGTACCTAAATTTGAGAAAACTGTTTTTTCCGTGTGGTTGAGTTTAGAATAAACTTTTTTGCTAAGGTCTGCCTACACTCTATCCTCCCCAGACTCTACTAGTGGGATTCTACTGGGTTTTTGTAGTAGTAGTTGTAGTTATGCTAAAATTGAAACAAACAAAAAACAAAATTAAAATTCCAAATTATTGAAACAAGCATCGTCTTAGCCCCAAAAACACTTGCTGCAATTGATTCTCCTCTTCTTGTTGTAGGTACAACAAATACCAGCCTCCGCACTCGACTGGCTAACCAAAATTAAAGCAGCCAGCTTTTTTTGATGCCTAAAGTCTAGGCAAGTGAAAATATATCATATAAATTTTCATTGTTGATATTGCTTCACTTAAAGGTAGAAGACAATTTAAGCATCTCAGCTAGCCAAGGCTTTTTCAAGGTTCACCTTTTTTTCCAAATAAGGTTAGACTTGCTGAGTCAAAAAAGAGAGTACCGATATCAATGTACCAAAAAATTAAAATGGTCAGACTCCAACCACGAATCCAACAGTGACAAAAAAGTCTATGACCTTATTTGCAGAACGAAATCAATTTCCAGGAATAAAGAACGAACATAAAAAATGTGATCCTCATATTATCAACAAATAATGTCCATGGGAGCAACCAGCTGCGTAAGCAACAAATTTCATCATTTGACCATAGGGAATGCAGAAGTCGATACAATAGGGGTCCCGTGGATGAAACCGAAAGGTCAAATACAAGGCTGACAATAAATGACTACTAACATGAAAGCTCTAATCTCTATTTCTCACAAGCAACCTAGTAAAAGCATGGTGAAATCTAGATAAGGCAAGGGAAACATTTCATTCATCATAGAAAGACACAGAAAAGAATATAGCCAGAATAATAAAATCTATATTAACCTAAAACGTCATAACAAAATGAGCCTGGAATAATACCCTACAGCAGTAAAACTTCACGTCCAAAAAAACAACACATAAAACTTAACCATATCTTGTTCTGCTGGTGGAGTAAGTAAAAACCAAAAAACTAGGGGGAGGGGAGAGGGGGGNGTTCTTCCATGATGGCATTCTCAGGGTTGATCTCCATGGTCTTCTTGCTAGACATGTATCCAGCCATGCTAGAGTCCCTAAGAGCTTGTGCCTTCATAATTCTCTCCATGTTGGCAGTCCAGCCATACTCTCCAGTAACCAAGCAGCAAGGAGAATCCACAACACGGTCAGAGACGACCACCTTCTCAACCTTGTCACCTAGAACATCCTTAATCACCTTGCACAGACCCTCGAACTTTTCCTTTAGTTCTTCGTGCTTTTTCTTCTCATCTTCACTCTCATCAAGCTTGAGGCCTTCCTTGGTAGCAGAAACAAGTTTCTTACCCTCAAATTCCTTCAATTGACCAACTGAATACTCATCAATAGCATCAACCATGTAAAGAACCTCATAGCCCTTCTTCTTCAGCTTCTCAAGGAAGGGTGAGTTCTCAACAGCCTTCTTGCTCTCACCAGTAATGTAGTAAATATCATTCTGGCCTTCTTTCATCCTTGTTACATAGTCCTTCAAGCTGGTCATCTCATCACCACTCTTTGTGGAGTGGTACCTCAGCAGTTCAGCAAACTTAGACCTGTTCTGTGAATCCTCATGGATACCAAGCTTGAGGTTCTTTGAGAAGGCCTCGTAGAACTTGTCATAATCTTCCTTGTTTTCAGCAATTTCAAAGAATAGCTCAATGCACTTCTTTACCAAGTTCTTGCGAATAACTTTAAGGATCTTGTTCTGCTGCAACATCTCCCTGGAGATGTNTGAGATGTTGAGGGGAAGATCCTCAGAATCCACAATACCCTTCACAAAGCTCAAATATTCAGGAATCAACTCTTCACAGTTATCCATGATGAACACACGGCGAACATACAGCTTGATGTTGTTGGGCTTCTTCTTGGTGTCAAAGAGGTCAAAAGGAGCTCTCTTTGGAACAAAAAGAACAGCCTTGAACTCCAGCTGACCCTCAACAGAGAAGTGCTTCACAGCCAAATGCTCCTCCCAGTCATTAGTCAGGCTCTTGTAGAAAGCAGCATACTCTTCCTTTGTGATCTCCTCAGGCTTCCTCATCCATATGGGCTTCTGCTTATTTACCAATGACCACTCATTAGATACTTCCTTGATCTTCTTCTTTTTCTTTTCTTCCTTCTCCTTTTCTTCATCAACCTCCTCTACCTTTCCTTCCTCATCCTTCTTCTCCTCTTCATCCTCATCATCAGAGATTTCCTTTTCTATGGTCTTCTCAACCCACAGAGAGATTGGGTAGCTGATGAACTCAGAATGCTTCTTAACTAGATCCTTAAGCCTTCGCTCTTCAAGGTATTCAAGCTGATCCTCCTTGAGGAAGAGGGTAATTTTTGTACCCCTGCCAAGGTTCTCACCAGATGTATCCCTTGTAACAGTGAATGAACCACCAGCTTGAGATTCCCAAACATATTGTTCATCATCATTGTGCTTTGTGGTCACAACCACCCTTTCAGCAACCAAGTAAGCCGAGTAGAAACCAACACCAAATTGCCCAATCATGCTTACATCAGCACCAGCAGCAAGTGCCTCCATAAATTCCTTGGTCCCTGACCTAGCAATTGTACCAAGGTTGTTCACCAGATCTGCCAATGAAACAAACAAGATCAGTATTTCACAGTCAAATAAAACATGAGTTCATCAACAAATGTAAGCACCAACGCCTACACAAAGTACTCCAACTTACCAGCCTTTGTCATACCAATACCACTATCAATGATAGTCAGGGTATTGTTGGTCTTGTTGGGGATAATGTGGATGAATAGTTCAGGTTGAGAATCTAGCTTGCTCTTGTCAGTCAAACTCTCAAAGCGGATCTTGTCTAGCGCCTTCAATTTAAACAAAAAATAACAATTAGATACTTCATAACTTGAAAAAATTGACAATAATACAGTGACATAGAGATAACCACAAAACTCTTGACACGCAGTGAAGTTTCTCAAAAGAATCTCTCAAAACTGCCAAAACTATGATTGCTTCAACAACCATAATTGGAACAAAAAAATGACAAAATGGTACCTTTAATCAAATGACATTTAGCGGCCATGAAAAATTTAAAGTCAGATAACTATGGCTAGTTTAAAAATTGCTTCTTTAATTGAATAAATTCTCCAACACATTTTTAAGTATTCGAACTCCTACTCTCTCAAAACTAACCAACAAAGCATCAAATTTTATTAGATACAAATTCTTCAGCTAATTATTTCAAAACTTATACACGCCAATAATAAGCGAGCGTGTACACACACACACACAGAGTCTACTGTTCCCTACGAGGATAACAATAAAACCCTAGATCAACACTGCCATAAAATCTACATTACAGAAAAAAGTCTAATTTCAGGAATAACAAGACAAACATTATTGTGCGTTAATCATCTATTCCGTAAATAAACGGAAACATATATTTGATAAATAAAATCATATCAAATCAGTTCAGCACAAACAAACAGACATATGATATTACTTTCAGGGTAAACAACGCATGAGTACGTCACCAAATCAGAAATCAGAAATCGAACCGCCAAAGCATGAATATTTTGGTACATATTAACAGTAAAAGTCCTAAATCATCAGGCTATACAGTCTCCGAAGGTATTGTAAAGAGAGATACTCACATCAGAAGAGTTACTGATGAGTTCACGGAGAAAGATCTCTTTGTTGCTGTAGAAAGTGTTGATGATAAGACTCAACAGCTGGTTGATCTCAGCTTGGAAAGCAAACGTCTCCTGCTCCGCCATTTTTCTGTGATCTACGAAGCCGATTGGAGGCGAAGGAAGAAAATAGAAAGGAGATTCGAAGAGTAAGAGATCAAAGAGAGAGAGAGGCAGAGGTTGCAGAGGGAGTAGCGACTTTATATACTTCGTAGTAGGGTTTGTTAGGGTTTCTAGATCCTTCTATTGGCTTATTCAATGATTTCCTTCCCTTCAATTTTTCAAGTTTTTTCACTGGAGGGGCCGCTATTTTATCTCGACCTCTCTTGCGGACCACTCGTTCTGGCCTTCTTTTGTTTCTCTCTATTTAATACTATTTAGTTTTGATATTTTTGAATTTTGCGTGAGAATCAAGTAAATTTTGTTAGATCTTTCTTGTTTTGCTATTACACGTTGGATAAAGAGAAACTATAATGCCTTGTGAGAAACAAAAATTAAAATTACGACTAATGAAGTAGGAATAATTGTACTTTTGCTCAATTATTAATAAATTTAAATTTTAATCCTCGTAAACATATTTTATCTTGAATTAACTAATTTTATGTTTTTCTCCCTTTGCATAAGAAATATTCGATAGTTTAAATTATTTCCATAACTATATTTCCTTTCAATTATTGATGGGGGTGGTGTCACGTGACACCGATTGGTCGAAAAATTTATTAAATATGTATATATAATTAAAATTCAAAAGAATAATAACTGTTAAATTCGATAAAGTGACACCACTTAACAACAAGTACTTGGTAGCTCATTTGGTCCAAAGCTTTGATTTTTTAGGAGAGGTCACGAGTTTGAAGTTGGATAGTTTTATTATTTGTTTTAACATTTTTTGAGCTTCATCTACGAATAAAAAATATATCGTGGTTTGAACCATTGGCCTCTTAAGCGTTAACATAACACTAAAACACGCAACAATATATTATTTGACTTTTGTTGTAAGTTTCTCATGTATTTTTCTCCTTTTTTTTTCCTTTCATCTTCTTTCTCAACATTCAATTGATTAAGAACGATCTACAAAATCGAATGACTGATGAATTTTGTGTAATTGTCTGGTGTTTTATGTAAAAAAAATATTTAGTACTTATTTCTAATGAGATTGTTTTGAATACATTTTAAAAAATAAAAATTCATATATAGTAATATTCTTGAGTTGTATTTTATTAATATGATTCTAACTATATTTTTTGATACGGTGTTGTTATAGTGAATTATTATTTGTTTATCGTTTAAAACTGTAACACCGCTTATGAAAAATTCTGCATACACTACTGATTATTGAGTAATATTATAAGTTTAACATAACACATTGGTAACTGTGAGCACCTAATTTTTGATAATATTTAATTATTTTTGTCACTTCTTCTATGTAAATATTTTAGGGAGTTTTAACCTACAATTTTTAGCTTTGTTACACTTTTTATTATAGGTTAAAAATACAAAATTTTAGAAGGTGAATTATTACAATTAATATTTTTTTTTATTTTTTAAAAAAAATCCGAAAAATATTTTAAAAAATAATAATTTTTGGGAGAGATTTAAAAAAATAAGAAAAAGGGAAGTATGGAATTAAAAAAAATAAAAGTAAAAGTAGGTGGAATTCTCTTTTAAAAAGTAAAAGAAAGTGGAAGATTAAAAAAATAAAAGTAAAAATTTGTGAAAATTTTAAAAAAATAAAAAGTAAAAGAAAGTTGGAATTAAAAAATAAATATAAAGGTAGTTGCAAATTTAAAAAAATTTAAAGTAAAATAAAGTAGAATTTTTTAAAAAGAAAAGCAAAAGAAAGTGGATTATTTTTTTAAGAAAAGTAAAATAAGTGGAATTATCTTTTAAAAAAGTAAAAAAGTGAAATTTTAAATAAGATAAAAGTAATTAAAGTTGCAATTTAAAAAAAATAAAAGTAAAGAAAGGTCTGAATTCTTTTTATAAAAAAAAGAAAAAGCAAAATGTAAGTGAGATTTCTTTTAAATAAAAATAAAAAAAATAATTAAAAAAAATCTAAAAAATTTCGAAAATTCTCCTATAAATAGAAGAGAAATATTTGAAGAAAAAAAAGAGGGAAGAGGGGAGGAAATTGAGAGAAAACAAATTTTCTTCTTCTATGCTAAAGAGAATTTCTACTAGTTTCATTCTTTCTACCTATTTCTTTCAAAAAAAAAATATATAGCCATTCATTACCTTGTTTAAGACAAAAAAAAATACCTCAAAAAAAAGGAGCTAAATCACACCAAAAATCAAATCCAAAAGCTTCAAACTCAATTTAAAAGATAGCCCAAAATACTAGCCCGAAGAGGTCGAAGTCGAGTTCGGTTCGAAAGGTTTCCGCTCGTTGCCTCTGATTGTGGTTCGTTTGCACATTAAATTTGATGGTTTTTTGCTCCATATGTATTGAATAAGATCTNAATAGAATTAGTGAGAGACAGAATGAGTTTCTTCAATGAGATTGTAGTTCATAGGGAAATATAGGAAGATGTATTCAAAATGGAGAGAGAACGATGTAATAGCTTGGATCCAAATTAAAGGATGTTAAGTCAATAGCAAATTTGATACCGACATGGGTGATTAGGTCCATAATAATTCAAATCATATATTTCTTCAATAATAATTCTATATTCATAAATCATGACCTTACAATAATCTCAAAGTAGTTTTAGGAAGAAACATAATCATGAACATTTGTAGTTTGCTTTAAATTGAATATGATCCTTTTAGAATAATCGAGGCACGCCATGCCAAATAAAATCTCAAAACTCATGGCCCTCATTTAATTAATTTTAATCCTTAGAAATCGAGACGTGCCATTTAGTTGAATTTTCCATGGCCCTCGCAAACTTGAAAGTGCGTAGTTGCTTTAGGCGCGCTATTTTTAAAAATTAATTTCCTAAACTCGGGTGTGCATTTCATGTGACCCAAATCCAAATCTCAACAACGTTAGATAAAATGTGTCGTTGACCGCGGGTGCATTTCATGTGACGTGGTTCAAGACGTGTTTTAGATGACGTTGAATTTTCCTAAAATTAATTAAAAGCGGCTAATAAGTTAAAAAATATACCATAGGTTGAAACATGTTTTAAAATCAGATAATAGGCCAATTGTAATAGTTTAAGCGACCGTGCTAGAACCACGGAATTAGGGAATGCCTAACACCTTCTCCCGGGTTAACAGAATTCCTTACTCAAAATTTTTGGTTCGTAGACTTCAAAAAGAAAGTCAATTTTTCCTCGATTTGGGATTTAAAATAAACCGGTGACTTGGGACACCAATTAAAATATTCCAAGTGGCGACTCAAATTAAATTAAATAATCTCATTTCGAATAATGTCACTTTAATTGGAAAAATTCCCTTACACCCCCTCGGACGGGTAAAAAGGAGGTGTGACAGCTCTGGCAACTCTGCTAAGGAACGAACCCAGAATTTTTGGTTCAGGGTTCAAGAATTCGAGCTTAGAATAACTGTTATACTTGGCTTGTGTTATCTGATTTTACGTGTTGAGCCTAATGTGCTAAATGCTGCTTTTTATCGCTTTGATATTGCTTGAATTGTATATAAAACTGTTACGAAACCCTCTTCTCTCTGAGTTTTCTAAATCATCTGGGAAGTGTGCCCTTCGTGTGACTTCTTTTCTGTTAGAGTCATATCCCAATTTTAGAACGAGGTTCGGACAAGTTGCAAAGCCGGTGAAGCTTCTGTATTCCCNACCCCCACCAAGACGTAACATATGCTCCTCAGCCATACACGGTTATGAATGATCAACCTTATGTTCGGCCACAACAACAAGCCAACCAGAACCAAGCTCCATTCTCTAGAAACCAGCCTCCTTACCAAAACCACTACAACCCCCGGCCTCCACAAAACAATTTACACCCTCGTGAACCACCCAAGAGGCCAAATTTTACACCAATTGGCGAAACCTACTCCAGCCTATTACCAAAGCTTGTTCAAATGGGTCTGCTACAGCCTGTTCCTCAAACTAGGCAAAACCCAACATTACCCGCTTACAGAGCTGGTACCCGATGCGCCTATCACTCAGGGGCAGAAGGGCACGACACAAATGATTGCTGGACTCTGAAGAGAGCTGCGGAGAACTTGATAGAACAAAGGAAGATAGTGTTAAGGGATGAAGATATTCCCAATGTGACTAACAACCCACTGCCGACCCACAACAACGGGCCAGTAATTGGAATGATTTGTGAGGACAAGGAATTCGACCCAGCGTTGAAGGCCATTATTGCCATCGCTGATGTAGAAAAGAAACCAAAAGCTGCCCTGAAGCAAGACAAAAGGGAGAAAAAGAACAAAACCACCCCTCCAAAGTTAGAGAAGAAAGTTAAAGTTGAAACTAGGGCAACGCCTCCCAAAGATGTTGTTCTCTATGTCCCTCGAGGCCGCAAAGAAAAGCAGATGACTTTGAGTCCTCCCAAGAGATTCGAGTTGAATAAGACAACACAAATGTATGTGCCCAAGGGAGCTTATATGATGTGGGGGCCAATTAATCCACCAAGGTTGAGTGAGCCTGTGGTTATTGGCCACGCATCACAAAAGCCCATGACGGATCCTACCGCTGTGCCCTGGAACTACAACAAATCAGTGGTAACTTACAAAGGCAAAGAAATCTCGGGAGAAGTTCAAGAAAATAACCCGACTAAAAAGTATTTCAAATTGGAAGAGGTGAACAATGACGCTAGAAAGTGCTTCCCATCTAAAGAAGCCCGTGAGTGCCGAAGAAGCGGATGCCTTCTTTCGAAAGATGAAAATGGCGGATTATGAGGTGATCGACCAGCTTCGAGAATTTCTCGCACAAGTCTCCTTGTTATCTCTGTTGATGAACTCCACCAAACATCAAAAGGTATTGATCAAGACCCTTAACGAAGCATATGTGCCTGTTGAGACTTCTGTAGAGTAGTTGGAGAGAATGGTCGAAAGATTTTTCGCAATCAACCAGATCTCCTTCAGCAAAAATGACCTGCCCCCAGAAGGGGCCGCACATAACAAAGCCCTGCACCTGACAGTCAAATGTGAAGGGTACTATGTGAAAAGGGTTATGTTGGACGGAGGCTTTGGGGTAGACATTTGCCCACTATCAACTCTGCAGCGTATGGAAATTGGTACCGAAAGAATCTGACCCAACAACG